GAGAATCAGTACCCAGAGGAGACTGAGTGAGTACTCTGAAGACAACATTCAAGCACCTGAGCCAGTAATGTAAAACTCCTGACTAATATGAATTTATATGAACTCACCTAAACATTTTAATTTAGGAACTAAATAATCCAGCATAGAGAGTAGTCTCCCACAACTAAAAAAATAGCCATTGTAATGAATGCTCTTTAGGCCTTGTAATCTTCAGTCATTAAAATTGTACACATAAATGGAATTTTCTATTCTTTTCATATATATTTAAAGTGACTGTGAATTAAAGTTTATTTCTAAATTTATATATAAAAACTTACCACATCATCTTTCACACAGGCTTTGTGTGTAACCAGTAGCCAGGAACAGTTTTGTTTCTGAACCTCAGAACCATTTATACTCTAAAATGAAAAAATAACATAATTTAAGTTAGCCACATAATATTTATAAAATAAAAAGTACAATGTGTAGCATATTTTGTGCTTGTACTATTCTTAGTCACTCAGTCATGTTCAACCCTTAGGCAACCCCAGGCTCCTCTGTCCATGGAGATTCTCCAGGCAAGAATACTAGAGTAGGTTGCCATGCCCTCCTCCAGGAAATCTTCCCAACCCAGAGATCCAACCCAGGTCTCCCATACTGCAGGAGAATTCTTTTCCATCTGAGCCATCAGGGAAGCCCATTTTAGGCTTTCTCCTAGAATTAAGAATCCCAAGTGGTGGTTTTAAGTATGACTAAGAACAATTAAAAAATACTTAATAAATATTTTCTGAAATACAGTCATGTTTTTGTTAGGAGAAAAGGTATTATTACAAGGGGTTGGACACTAGTAGCCCCTAAGTTGTACTCTGTTTTACATGATTAGCAGAACATTAAAAACATTTTTAAAAATTCCTTTTGTAAGAAAGCACTGTTCCAGTCCCACACAGGACCTACCACTTTTTACTGATGCTTGATCTGTTCATACCTTTCTATGTCCCTAGTCACTATAGGTATAAATTTGTGACCTCTGGATTAGACTTTATATGTAGCACCAAAGGGCAGAGCTAGGACTGAAAGTTCAGAATTTCAAGAAGGCAGATATTGTACCAGTATTCTTTGTTTATTAACTGTAAAGATGTTTATTTGTCAAGTTCTATTAGGTAATTTGTATATAAACAGAAGAAAGCTATGACAAACCTAGACAGCATATTAAAAAGCAGAGACATTACTTTTCCAACAAAGGTCCACAGAGTCAAAGCTATGCTTTTTCCAGTAGTCATGTATGGACGTGAGAGTTGGACCATAAAGAAGGCTGAGTGCCAAAGAACTATACTTTCTAGCTGTGGTTTTGGAGAAGACTCTTGAGAATCCCTTGGACAGCAAGGATATCAAACCAGTCAATCCTAAAGGCAGTCAGTCCTAAATATTCATTGGAAGGACTGATGCTGAAACGGAAGCTCCAATACTTTGGCTACCTGATGTGAAGAACTGACTTATTACAAAAGACCCTGATGCTGGGAAACACTGAAGGCAAAAGAAGAGGACAGCAGAGGATGAGATGGTAAGATGGCATTACTGACTCAATGGATGTGAGTTTGAGCAAGCTCTGGGAGATGGTGAAGGACAGGGAAGCCTGGCTTACCGCAGTCCATGGGGTCACAGAGTTGGACTTGACTGAGCGACTGAACAACAAATATAAACAGATCCTATCCTCAAGGACAATTCAGAAATGATACAGGAAACCATATGCACTTTCTATGCAGTAAACATGGTTTATGTATAAACTGTAAATTTATCCAACTAACTTATTGAAATAATTCCAACAAATTGGAACTGCTAGGACCAAAGTTATCCAAAGTTTATAGTTTTGAGTCTAAACTATAATAGAGTTTAACCCTACTATACAGAGGGGATGTCAGCAATCTTGGCCCCCAGTGTTTATGTGGGTATGTTCCCTAAAACTGTACAAATGTTAATATTGGGCTTCCCTGGTAGCTCAGATGGTAAAGAATCCGCGTGCAATGCAGAAGACCCAGGTCAGACCCAAATATGCTATTATAAAGAAATTGCTTTTCGTTTGCTACTGTTCAGCTCAGTCATCTTCTTATGCTTAATCCTTAGTAGTCACTTGTGTTATTTCATTTTCTTCTTTTTTTTTCATTTGTCTTGGTTTATCAATGTCTTTGTTACTGGTTTCTAAGAGTTCATTTATGACTAAGGAGGTTAACCATTTGTCAGGCAATGAAAATGAAATACCGCATTTTACTGTCAATTTACTATGATGTTTTATATTTTGGTTGTGTATTAAAATATAACCATGCTGTGTTTCATGAAAATAAATCAATCACCATACTTCCACAAGGTGACTTTTATACATTAGGTATACAGGAGACTTTGCCATCTGGCTTTGGAATGGAGAAGAGTTGTGCTTGTCCAAATAACTGATCTGTTTTCATTGAATGACCTCAGTCAGGGACTGATGTTTCTGATCTAATGCTGGCTGCCCTAAATCTTACAACCAAATGTGTGACCCACCTCTAGCAAATTAACAGTCTTGTGGTATATTTTGAGAACTAATGCCATTTCTGCTTCATCTTATCTATACTCCTTTTATCCAGATTTTCTCACTTTTTATTTTCCTTCTTGTATTGCCTACTTGTAATTTGATCCAAATTCTTCCAGAAATAAAGCAAAGTGAAAATAAATACAAGGTATAAGGTAATACATAAAATGAAAATATGTTCAGGAAAAAGTTCTAAAGGTAGTTCAGAAGTAGACATTGCTTCCAAGTGGATGTGTGTATTTGTGCTCAGGGAGGAAAGGGGAGTTTGGGGAAGTATGTCTCAGATATGCAAAGGTGGGGATAAACATTTCAGGAAAAATAAAGATGAACAAAGGCAGGTAAATGTAAGAGGAAAAAGAGAATAGTTCCGTTTCAGTGACCAGAATAAGATTAAGAGTCACAGAGGAAAAAACAGCTGAAAAGTGTATTAAGAGTATTTCACTAGGGCTTCCCTGGTGGCTCAGATGGTAAAGAATCCACCTGCAGTGCAGGAGATCTGGGTTCCATCCCTGGGTTGGGAAGATCCCCTGGAGGAGGGCATGGCCACCTACTCCAGTATTCGTGCCTGGAGAATCCCCATGGACAGAGAAGCCTGGCCGGGCTACAGTCCATGGGGTTGCAAAGAGTTGGACACGACTGGGTGACTAAGCACAGCAAAGCACAAAGTATGTCAGCATAGATGAGTGACACGTATAGAACTGTGCTTTATAAAGGGGAATCTGTTACCAGCGTGTAACATGGTTTGGGGTAGGGAGACTGGTAGTTCAGTGACCTGTTAGGAAATCACTGCATAAATTCAGGTAAGACAGGGCAGGAGAAATGAGGGAAGAGAGAGAAAGCAAGCCAAGCAGTGGAAGCAAAATAAGAATGAATACACCCTGCTAACCTGGGAGACATTCACATGACCTGTCAGTGAGAGAGCTAAAGAATGAATTTACAAGCAGGGTGTCTTGCAAGCTCTGAATTCAATCTTAATGTTAAAGTGAACACACAGCTAACTTATAGTGCACTTAATATGCCAGGCAGGGTGCTAAAGTTTCAAAGTTGTGTCCAAGTCTTTGCGACCCCGTGGACTATACAGTCCATGGAATTCTCCAGGCCAGAATACTGGAGGGGTAAGCCTTTCCCTTTTCTAGGGGATCTTCCCAACCCAGGGATCGAACCCAGGCCTCCCGCATTGCAGGCGGATTCTCTACCAGCTGAGACACAAGGGCTTCCCTCGTGGCTTCCTTTTTTGAAGCAACGTAAAAATTACCACAGTTGTAATAATGGAGTGGGCCACTAGGAGGCCCTTAACCATAGCGAGCAGCAATCAAATGGTTAACAATGGTTTGGTAGAGCGGTCGACGAGAAGGGAGCCGCCTCGCCAGACTAGAAAATCTTTAAATCTCCTTAGTATTGAAAAAAATAAAATTCCCTTAGTGTTAAAAAAAAATAAAAGTCCCTAACCCTTGCAACTGAACATCATTCCCAGGCCAGTAGTTTCAGCATCATCTGGGGGCTTGTAAGAAATGCACAAAGCTGAGCGCCCGAAAAATTGATGCTTTTGAACTGTGGTGCTGGAGAAGACTCTTGAAAGTCCCTTGGACTGCAAGGAGATCCAACCAGTCCATTCTAAAGGAGATCAGTCCTGGGTGTTCATTGGAAGGACTGATGCTTAAGCTGAAACTCCAGTACTTTGGCTACCTCATGAGAAGAGTTGACTCATTGGAAAAGACCCTGATGCTGGGAGGTATTGGGGGCAAGAGGAGAAGGGGACGGCAGGAGATGGCTGGATGGCATCACCGATTCGATGGGCATGAGTCTGAGGACACTCCGGGAGTTGGTGATGGACAGGGAGGCCTGGCGTGCGGCGATTCATGGGGTCGCAAAGAGTCGACACGACTGAGCGACTGAACTGAACTGAAGAAAGGCAGATTATGCCCTACCCTTGACGTACAGAATCAGAATATGTATTTTAAAAATTCTCCCAAGTAATTAATAAACACATTAAAATTTTAGACACATCGGTTTAAGTAACGTCAGTTTAAAGAGCCCGAGACCACCGATCAGAAGGACAAATAGGCAAGCTGGGTTGGGGTGTTGCATCGGGCGGGTGTAGGAGTTCCCGTCGTGCACACTACAAGGCAGGACTGGAAGGGCACAAAGGGTCCTCACCCCGTCTAGGAGGATGATTCGGCCAGCGCAGGAACTGGTGGTGAAAAACTGTTCTTGCCCATTTAGGAGCTGCACAATCTCTAACACGTCATCGTCCACACTGCCCTTCCGGCTGAGGTCCACTTTGCCCAGACACTGCGCCTTCCACCTCTTGAACTCTGCGCTAAGATCCATGCGACGAAGGAGTTAGGGTCTGGAGTTTTCGCGTTGGCTTAGTTCTTCCCTGGAAGCAGCCATGTTGAAGTCAATGGTGGCCGGGAAGGTCCAAACTCCTTCCTGGGACCCGCCCCTGGGGCGGGGCGAGGCGGAGCCTGAAAAAGCTGTGGCCTGCCGGGCCCGCCCGCTTTTCCCGTGCAATCTCAGGGGATGCTCGCAAACTTTGATTTTCCACTCTAGAACGGGGTAAGTGGTTTTAAAAGTCCCTCAGTTCACGCTGAGGATTTCTCCAGCGCTCGTCCAAAAGGAACCGAGCTGGATTTTGTTTGCGTTCCTTTCCTGCGTCCCGTCCTCCCCGAGAACCATGGGATAAGGAGTTTGTGGCCAAAGTTACTCCGCACCGGGGGCTGCTAGTTAATCACCCGTAGGTCAGCAGGGCAGTTAGACTTGCTGGTCCCGAGAGCCCGGTTTTGCTTATTGGCAGGGTCAGCGTTTCGGGTCCCACTGCGGGGAGCCCACCCCTCAGCCTCTGCTTGCCTGCCTCCACTAGAGTTCCCCTCTCGGCCTGGGCTCTGGATTCCTGCAGCCTCTCGCGGCTGCTGTGACCCGCGGCCACTCGATTTCGGGTTTCCTAGGGCTCCTTCTCTCCGGTCTTTCCTCCTGCTTTGATGACGTCTTGGAGAGAATTGTGTAGACCCCTTCCACCCCGCCATGACCCTCATCTAGGAGACTCTTCAAAAAACGAAATTCCCTGTTAGCACATCGTTGGGTATGTACACGTTTCTAGAGGAGTCTTATCTCAGTGACCAAGGAAGGTGCGTTAATGATTCAACTATTGAAAGGCTAAAGTTTGGACTGATTGTCAGCAACTAGTGGACATGGCTTCCCACGTGGCACAGTGCTAAAGAATCCGCCTGCCAACATAAGAGAGGTAAGAGAGGCAGTCCGATTCCTCACTTGGGAAGATTCCCGTAGAGGAGGAAATAGCAACCCGCTCCAGTATTCTTGCCTGGAAAATTCCATGGACAGAGGAGCCTGGCGGGCTACAGCCCATGGGGTCCCCAAGAGTCCGACTGGACTGAGCATAGCACAGCGTTAGTGGAAAATGGCTGTGTGATTCCCACTGAAACCGGTGGGACACTCCTACTGCTCTGGTCAGCAGTAGGAAATCACACGGAGCTCTGCTCCCCCGGCGCAGGAGCAGCCTGACCAGTTAGTTCCACCCAATCTATTCTTCCAAACACCTGCAGGGGTTTAGACTAACTGTCTGATCAACTCCTCCTGTCCTCCTAATCAGAAGTAGGTACTAAGAGCCAGGCCCATGAAGTAGTATTCTGACAAGGTCATTCAGCTAAGAAGAGACTTTTCTTTGGCTGCTTTTAATTAAAAAAATTTTTTTTCTGACTTAAGAATAAATATGCTACTGTGAGTCGTTCTTGATCAATTGTAGCACATTTATAATGTTTGATTCTCTTCCAAGTTTTTTTTTTCCTTGTTAGAAATTCTTGAAAATTAAGAATTTTTTTAAATAATATGGCTTTGCTTTGGCTTTGTGAATCGATCTGTTCATTCTATGTGAGAATATATTTCCAACTTTTTTCCTATCCCTTTAATTTTCATTTAAACCAAATGGATTCAAGCATAGCTTGAAAAAGATCAGTGTTGAAGGAAGAATTTTAAATTCTGTATTTCCTCCATTTGCAAAATAAGGTTGGCAACATTTCATAGGTTAAAAAGTAAAACTGAACAATAAACCAGGGTGCTCTGATTCAAAGTTTATATTTGATAAATAGAAAAACCTGCTAAAGTACATTTTAATTAAAAAACACAAGCAGTGTGATAAGCCTGCTGCTGACTGTAAATGATGTACCCTGAATAATAGAGCTTATAGCCTGTCAGGCGTGCTCTGAAGCACTCCCCATATGCGCTGCAGTTGATCTTCACAAGGATCCTATGCTACGGAGCATTGGCCCCATTTTATAGATAGGAAAATTATTATTATTATTTGTTATTATAGTTTTCCTGAAAGAATCACATTCTGTGTATCTCTAGTAGATCCCTTAACTTATGGGCATTTCAAAAATTTCAGACCCAAAGCAGATGTCTTAATCATAAAATATGAAATGCTACCTGCAGGTTAGCTGAATTTCATATCTCTAGCTCAGTCTGTCTCACTATCATCATTATAAATTCTATCTCTTAAGAAATTAAAGGTCTTCTCTGCCAATATTTCAAAGGGTGAGATGAAAAGGATTTTACAGTTAAGGGGAAAAAAATGCCCAATAACATTTAAGGTGTTGGGTTTCAGCTCTCCTTCAGTGTGACCCTGGTGAATCTCAACCTCTGAGATGTTTCCTCATCCATAAGAAGGATGGTGATTTTATTTTCAGTTCTACATACAATTAAATGGTGGTTTTAATAACTTGCTTCTCTATCTATTGTGAAAATTCTTTTAATGGATGTGAAAGATGTGCTGTTTAGAAGAAATCAGGTGTTGCAAAGATTTAAGAATGATAATTACTATGTTAACAATTTTTTTAGCATAGCACCTGTATTATGAAGCAGATGATGATCCTCTAGGTCGTTGAGGGGGTTCAAAGGCAATGAATGCAGATTGGAGCCTGAGCAATCGTAGTGGTAAGGGCTCAGCAGGAAATAAGACCACCAAAAGCAAAGTAGAAGAGTTTTCAAGGTCATGCCCTGTTTCCTTATGAGCTCCACAGGTTAAGGGGTAGTACTGGGCAAGACCGGGCTGGGGGTGGGGTCTTCTAAATCCAGGATTAAGGGTGAGTCTCTTCCTTGCTTTGTTCTTTTCTTCCAACTTAGCAAATGTCCAGATTCGAGGAAAAAAATGTATGTGCTAGGTATTTTTGACAGATCCTATTTCAGGGTAATTTTGCTTTTATTATTGCTACAGTTTTTTGAAGGTACTAGGGATGTCTGTTGGTGAGAAGATAGATGTGAGAGCTTGAAAGAAATAAATAGGGAGGAAGTAAGTAGATATTGAAAGTGGAAAGAGAGCTACATCTCTTAACATGGTGTGTGTGTGTGTGTGTGTGTGTTCGCGTGCAAGTGCATCGAGGAGCGATGAGGGCAGAGCCGGGGGAGTCTGGGGCTTGTTATCCTTGCCCTCTGTGCTCTGAGTTTGGCACAGTGCCTCCCTTATAGTTAATATTCAAAAATGCATGTTGAATGAATAACAACCAATGTTTGGTATTCATGCTTTGTTTGAATAGTTCTCTGTACTGTGAACTATTTGAGATTAAGGACTTGATTTTACAACAGTCCTATAAATATTGTTAAATCAAAGATGACTATAGGATTATAGAACCAAAGATATCTTAATGAATAAGAAATTGGAAAGGAGAAGCTAGTGGGGAAAGGAACCATGATATCACTATGTATAGAAGTAAACATTTGCCGGGTTCTGTGCTTCCTACCTGCCCTGGCTCTTGCATAGTAACCCTGAGTAGAACTCAGTTTTCAAATGAAGAAGCTCAAAAAAAGTGACTGCCTTGCCCAAGGCCACATGGATAGTAAATGATAGATCTGGGTTTCCTACTGAGAGCTGTCAGATTCAAAGCCCACACTCTTTTCACAACACCATGCTGAAGACAAAAAGGAGAAAAAAAGAGCTATGTTCTTATTTTCAGTGTAGAAAACTCTGGTCTGTACAACCTTTTCTTTTTCTGTTTTATTTTCTTTATATATATTTTTGCTTTCAAGTCTTAAGAAATACTCAGCTTGAGTGAGGATCCAAACAGAAAGGCAGGAGTGAAACTGCTGGGTAGGTAGGGCATGAGCTGCCTGTTCCCCAGTCCTAGTTCTGCACGAAGCTTCTTACCCTAAGACTGCCCAGCTGCTCTGCAGTGCGTGAGGCTTACACATGCTTCTGATCCCACCCCCTTTTTTAATACGAATACTGCCCTTTAGGCTATTTCATTGCTAAAACAGCCTTTTAGCAATGGAGAGTTTATTTTCTCTTCTGTACTAGGTACTATATTAAATCATTTTGAATAAAGGGTTTTAAAATGGCACAACTTTTGGTTAATTATATCAAGAACTTTCCATTAATGACACCATCAAAGTGCTTTGATTTCCCCCCACACATGGAAGGGCATTTTATAGTCAGCATGAGCTTTGTTCCAAGGAGTCTTGTGCTGGGCTTCAGTACAGTGAAAGTATGAATTCTGTCACCTCAAGTCTTAGTTTCTGCAACTCTTTTTGATGTTTCAGCTGCTCGTGGTTGGTGAATATGATTATTCCAGAAGTTAGCAAAGATGTTCCTGGTGGTGGCAGAGTTTAGCAATATTTGGTGTGGTTAATTTCAAGAAATTGTCATAGCAGACAAGCAAAATTATGGAGGTCAGACAAAGCCCTTTCATTACATCTCTATAGATGTAAGATTTCCAGTTACCCAATTATTTTTATATATATATATATCACATATGTATGTTCTTTACCTTCCAAAGCTTATTTTAACTGTGAGTTTTCATTTCAGTATTTACAGTGGTAGAAGAGAAAGAGTAACTATAAATTACACTTATGATTTACAGAAGATTACACATAAAGCAGTTTTTAGCTGTTTATTCTTTTTTGTTAAAATGAATGAACTTCATAAAACTAAATGTTTCAGAATTGATAAATCTCAAAAACTTAATACTGAGAGGAAAAAGCAAGTTGCAGAATTCAGTACAATGTGATCTAATATGATTATAAACTTTATTTATAAAGTTTGAAAACATGCAAAATAAAAACAATAGCACATACTGTTTAACAGTGCAAATACATGTAGCAGTGGAATTACATCCTGCCTGAGAAGGATGCACTCTTGTGTTTATGGGAATAGTCACCTCCTAGAATTGTGGAACAGAAATGGGTTTGGGGACAGTTAGAGGAGGCTTCAGTTGTATCTATAATACAACGTTTTAGGTTTTTACAGTGGTAAGGTTTGTTAAAGCTGGGTAGCAGGTAAATGTTTATTGTATGTTTTATATTTCTCTCTATATCTGAAATATAATCTAACAAAAGAAGATCTGTTTATCTAATGTTAAGAAAACTTACATTAGCTCCTAGAATTTCCAAGATTTTATAGCCCAAGCTTACACAGAACGAAACCTAAGATAATTGTATCATGCATCGTCTATCCAGATGTTTTTGTTTGTATGTTTGATTCCCTTGTTGAAAGCACTGAATCCCTACAGGAAATAATATGAAGCATTTTGCTTTGTAGCTGAAGGATTTGTAAGATGAAAGGTCCTTAAACATGAAATGAGATCAGTGGTAAGCTCATGATTTAAATTGTTGTTTGAAAAATTGTTTGATCTTCCCCCTCCAGGGAGAAAAACACAGTGATAGCCTAGATACAATATGACAATATGTTATTTTTTTTTTCTTAGTATCTAGATCACCATGGCGACTGGACAGAAGTTGATGAGAGCTATTAGAGTTTTTGAATTTGGTGGACCAGAAGTGCTGAAACTCCAGTCGGATGTTGCTGTACCAATTCCAAAAGACCATCAGGTGGAAATCATTACTTAAAAACAGGCAATAATTAAACTGAGTGTGTGTCTCTAGCACATGAAGTTAATGTTAGAAATAATGATTTATAAAGATATTGCTTTAGTACAGACCCTGGAGAAGGGAATGGCAACCCACTCCAGTATTCTTGCCTGGATAATCCCATGAACAGAGGAGTCTGGTGGGCTACAGTCCACAAGGTCACAAAGAGTCGGACACGACTGAGCTACCTTCACTTCACTGTACTGTTTACACCTATAAGCTCTGACAAAGAGAACATATAATTCTAACTAGTGAAGTAAATGTATAAAAAGAAAGAACATAAGAAAATTTATAAGTTGAAAATCATCTGTGTAGTGAAGTAATTGGATTTTTCTGAATGGAGTCATGATTATTCAATTATAATCTTTCATGATCTTTGTTTTATGCATGGGGAGAATAATTTTCTTCTGCATACATGCTTTTTCACATACAAGAGATTTTAAATATAGATTTTAATCATTTCCAGTGACTTTAATAATATACTTTTTCAATAAAATTATATATTTTTATTACTGCACCTTTCGTCACTCCCATGTCTAACTTCTTTAGCAAGCCTTATGAGAGTTTTTACAGTTTGGTTATGATTTGACAAAGATTTATTTCTTATCATTTCCTCTCAGTAGACTGCTGCGACAATACAAGCTTTATCTGGTTTCCTCAAGAGGTCTTTTCATTCCTTCTGTCTTTGCACATATTGTTCCTTTAACCTGAAGTATCCTTCTTCCATTCTGAAAGATATCTACTCATCCTTTAAGATCTAAATCAAATACCACTTCCTTCATAAGGCCTCATAAGGCTATCATACTTTGATAGCAGAAGTAATCATTCTGTATTAAAGTCAGATGAGCTTCTATAATAGATGTAGCCTCAAAATTTCAGTGGTTGGCAGCCTGGATGGGAGGGGAGTTTGGGGGAGAATGGATACATGTATATGTATGACTGAGTCCCTTTGTTGGTCACCTGAAACTATCACAACATTGTTAATTGACTATATCCCAGTATACAATAAAAAGTTAAAAAAAAATCTCGGTGGTTCTCATTCACTAAATTCCACAATTCTAAAATGTCAGTGGATAGAGTTTTCTTCCAAAGTGATGTAGGGACCTGTATTTCTTCCCTTGTGTGGCTCCGCCTCCTTCAACACCTGTCGTCTGAGGTCACTAAGAAAGGGTGGAAACACTATGTACATTGCCTAGGAAGGACTTTGTGGGTCAGTCTCAAAAGTAGCTTTCGCCACTTATGTTTACATTCCATTTGACTGCTTATAACTCTGAAGGAGCCAGGAAGGAATATTCTTCCTACTTTCCTGTCCAGGAGGAGAAAATAGGTTTGATGAGCATGTAGACGTCTCTGCACACATCCCCTCAGATATCTCCACCACTATTTTCCCCCAGATGTTTTTAGTATAGCACGTAAACCATTCTGTCTTATTTTTTATTTATATGGTGATTTCTAAAACTGGAATGTGAGCTCATTGAAGGCAGGATTTTCCTCTATTATTGTAGCTCCCATGATCACTCCACTCCAGTCTTATGATAATGCTGAGTGAATGCCTAACTGCTCTGTATGAACTGAAGTACATTGTCATTGCAGGTTCTCATCAGAGTCCAAGCATGTGGTGTAAACCCAGTGGACACATACATTCGCTCTGGCACTCACAATATAAAACCACCTCTACCTTATACTCCTGGCTTTGATGTGGCTGGGATAATAGAAGCTGTTGGAGAGAGTGTATCTGCTTTCAAGGTATTACATTTTAATTATTTCTATTTTAGCTTAATATGTATATTTTTTAACATTTTGACATAGCTTTAAAATGTATCTGTATTTAAGTCTTTAAAAGGCCCTGTTACACAATTTCTGCCACTTGGGGGACTCCTCTAGTCAAAAAAGAAATCACCTTTTATCCAGGGACCTTGCTTGTTTGCATTGTTGGGAATAAGTGTTGGGTAATTTCTGTGTCTCCACATCCCCATAGAATTGAACTGTGATCCTTTGATTTAACAGAAATACTTAAGGAAAGAATATAATAAGCAAGGAAATTATACTGTTTCCTAACTCTTGATAATACACAGCCAACATAATTTTTTCTTTTTTTTTCTTCTATAAAATTTAGTTCCACAAAATAAAGGGAAGGCTAATTCTTTTGAATAATAAGTAAAAGATGAACAAATGCAAGGTCAACTATACATTTTTAGAGCTATGATTCAGACCAAGGTGGCTGAGTCAATGTAGATGTTATGAGTTATGATCAGAGCTTTTGTTATTTATGTGCAAAAAGATATAAAAAACCTAGATAGCATATTCATGTTCTAGCATCTGTCCTCATCATTCCTTGACCTGCTCAGCTGTGGCAGCACATTTACCAAAATTGAACTGAGCGAAGATTAACAGGGTCTGGCCCAGGAAGCCAGGAAAATTCCTTTTGCTTTCTACTCCTCTGCCTTTGGCAGTCTAGCTCCTGCCCCCACTGCTCCACTGAGACGATGTTTACTAATGTCGCTAATGGCCTCTGTATTGCTGAAGCTAATGGGTCCTTTTATGTCATTATCTGAATTGACTTCTCTGGGACATTTGACACTCTCAGCCACTTACTTTTTCTTAAAAAAAAAAAAAAAAGAAAACTTCTCCAGCTTCTGTGACATTATATTCTCCAGGTCTCCCCCCCCACCCCCCACCTCCCATTCCTCTCTGAGCATCCTTTTTCAAGCTTCTTTTTCTCTGGATGTTCCTCATATCTTGGTGTTGCCCAGTGCCCACTCACCCTATGCAGACTCTGCCTTTTGTATTTTCTTCCTTCTTCAGGATGGGCTCATATGCTCCCTCAGTTTCCATTATCTAGTGTGACATCTTTAGCTTAGAAGGTGGACCTGTTCTTTCCAAATATGGTGGCCACTAGCCACATGTGGCTGTTTGAAATTCAAATTCCATTCAAATTAAAAATTCCATTCTTCAGTTGCTTAATAGAAGCAAGTGTCTAGTGGCCACTGTTGGACAGTGCAGATGGAGAACATTTACATCATCACAGGAAGTTGTGTTGCAGGGCCCACATCAGCAAACTCTAGGAACCTCTTACTCATGTCTAAAACTGAGCTTCTCTTTCTCCCAACAGAGCTGCTGCTCTTGTGGACTGTCTTGGTGACATCTGGGGTCTGAGGCTTATCTGTCCCTCACTTGGCTCTCCCTTACCGGGACTGTTTCCTCTCTCCTCTTTTCCTCCCCACTGTAGTGTAGTTTTGGTTATCTTACGTAGTCCCTTCTCTGGGTTTTTATAACAGACACTTAACTTACCACCCTCCCTCCTAGCCCCTCGAATCTATCCTTGCTCTATAAGGAATAATTTTCTAAAATGTAATTTAGATTGTTTTACACTATGTTTCAAATCTTGTATCAATTCTTTATAGATTTCAGGGTATTGCTGGAATGCTTATATTACAAAAGAAGACTGTTTCGTGCTCCTTCTCCTACCCATCTTTCCATTCTTATCTCCCATTCCTTCTCACTCTGTAGTTTATCCTTTAGTAATAACCGTTTGTTCTTCCCTGCATGTCCCATGCTCTTTCATCTCTGTGTCTTTGTATTGGCTCTTCTATTTGGCAGAACTGAATCAAAGCTTATAAACATGGGTTCAGGGGCTTTTACCCTCCAGCTTTCATTTCATTTTTATCTCCCGAAACTGTTACATTCCACACTGTTATTATTCCTTGGGAATGCATGCTGGTGATTTCTCAGCACCTCTTCCTATCACAGTTCCCTGACTTAACTTTGTTTCCTTTATTGCTAGCATCTCTTCCCACTTCCAGTTTTCAAGATCTTGTCCTATCTTTGAAAGTGAAAAAGTTGCTCAGTTGTGTCTGACTCTTTTCCACCCCATGGACTATACAGTCCATGGAATTCTCCAGGCCAGAATACTGGAGTGGGTAGCCTTTCCCTTCTCCAGGGGATTGTCCCAACCCAGGGATCGATCCCAGGTCTCCCTCATTGCGGGCAGATTCTTTACCAGCTGAGCCACAAGGGAAGCCCCTTCTCTTTCAAGACCTAACTCAGATACTAGTTTCTCAGTCTAGCTGTTCTTGATTCCTTCAACTTCGAAATAGTTCCTTCTTTTTCTCATACCTATCTTTGATGGCTCATCAGATTTGCCTTGCTTTAAAATTCTCTCTCTCCTTTTTTCCCTCTTCCTGTAGTTTAAGAAGCTTGAGATTAGGGAGAATGTCTTGCTATTAATATCCATCACAGAACTAAAAGTACTGCTTTTCATAGTGGATTCTTAAACAGGTTGGAATTATATTGAAGTCAATGCAGTGTGTTTTTAAGCTGTAAAAACAGGATTAATCTGATGTTAGTCATACTTGACCATTTGCAGGCAACACTGTTAAGCAGTGATGCTTGTCTTTGACTCCTGGGTGCCGTTGGAACCTTTTCTGTCTCTACCTCACCCTATAGTATTGTATTATAGGGCAAATTTAGGTGTATTGAGAGTTATTGCCTTAATGTTTTTCTTATTCCAAGAACTATTTACTTTTTTTATTCTTCAAGAAACAGGATTTAGAAGAGGTACTTGTGCTGGGCAGTCTAATTTCCTTGGTGTGCAGGTCACATGGAGCCAGCTTGTGGTGCTTGCATGGTGCCTTTCCTTACCCCCAGCTACACATCTGCCTTCCAGTAGTGAGGACCCAGCAGGCGTTTATGGAGAGTTTGTTATATGTTTCTGGTGCTACAAAAGGTCAAGACACTTTCCTGGCTCATCTCTGTTGTTGGGATCCAGGCAGAGTTGCCTGCCTTTTGGTCCATGCGTGAAAAAGGAGGGAAATGCGGGAACAAATCTACAGAAAGAATTTAGAACGGGTGTTTGGAAGAAACCTTACATTGTATTTATTTCTTCTCCCCAGTATTGGATAAAAAACATTTATGTTGACTGCCATTTATTAACTGCTTGATCTGAGCAAATTACTGAACTTATTTACGCCTCCATTTCCTCATCTTTGAAGTGGGATTATCTAAAGGGAGGTAATGAAAGTTTTCCTCATAGACTGTTGTGAAGATCAAATTAGATAACACTCATTAGGCATTTAATGCTGTGCCTTGCACAGCAAGCCGTCAGTAAAGGTAAGTTATCATCATAATCTTTAGACCATTCTGGACATTCTCTCTTTTCTTATTTTTCCTGTTTCCCTTGATTTTTCTTCTTCCTAGTTTCGATTAATAAAACATTTTAAAATGTTCTGTATTTTGAAGTTGTTTTTATGAGACCTTAGGATGTAGACAACAATATATAAGCACTCATTTTATTTCTTGTTATAAATGTTGCATTCTAAAGGGTTACACCCATGCTGACAACCTTTTTAATCCCTGCAGCATTTATTAATTTATTGCTTTCCCCAGAAAGGTGACAGAGTTTTCACTACCAGGACGATCTCTGGGGGTTATGCTGAGTATGCTCTGGCCGCCGATCACACTGTTTACACACTGCCAGAAAAACTGGACTTTAAACAAGGAGCTGCCATTGGCATCCCATACTTTACTGCTTATCGAGCTCTGCTCCACAGGTAATAACACACTGTCAGCTTTATAACCGGCACCAGAGGAGGGCGATGTTAATTGGAGGAAAGTAATATATAATTTATGCTTCCTACCACCCGTCTACCCACTGGTCATTTTTGGTTCCCATTAAGTTACCGTTAAGGTTTATGGAACGGAAACTCTGCTCATTTGGTAGATTGTTCTAATCACTGAAGAAAAAGACAAGAACAGCAAAAACCCATCTTTGTCTTCAGGATGCTCACAGTCTAGTAAGGGAGAGAGACGTAAGAGTAATAATACTGATATATAATTTGGAAAGGACAGTGGCAGAGATGTGCATAGGGATTTACGGGATCACAAGGGACATGCCTGTGGTAATGAGGTCAGGCTTCCTGGCAAGGCATAAGTCTTAGATTTTTTTAAAGCCATGGTTCAAAAATCTCGTTATCCAACTCCAGAAACTTAACTGCTGCAGCTTTTAAGTACAGTGGCTCTGCCCTAGTCCCCCTGGTCAGTTTCCATGGCTGATACCTGAGAATCTACATCTTAATCAAATTCCCTAGGTATTTGAAAAGCATCAGAGAGCATTATCCTGGGGAAGGGTAGCTGGGAGTAGGGAGGGTATTCTAGAGAATGGGGAGAGCTGGTGTGGGGAGCAAACATCGGGGTATCGGGGGAAAAGAGCTATAGCAGTTTGCTTTTGTTAGAAGGTTTCAAGGCAAAGAGTGGTGAAGAATAAAGTTGGAACATAGTAGTCTCTCAGTAAATGTTAGCTGTCATTATCAAATTGGTGCACCTCAGATTGTAAAAAGCTAGATTATAGCACTCACATATTGTTCTCTAAGGACTTGGAAGTCTTTTAGTGTTTTATTCAGGAGAATGATATTGTCATATATGTGTTTTATTAGGATCACTCATCTGCTATGGGAAGGATGGATGTCATGACAGGAGTGGAGAAAGACATGGGAGAATCTTATAGAAGTACCCTTTGGACATTATTAATACTTAAGGGCCAGAGCAAGGCTCATGGTAGAGGTGGAGAGGAAAGGATAACTAGGGGGTAAAATCAGAAATATTTGGTAACTATTTGCATGTGGAGAATGAGGGAGAAAAAGAGCTTAAGAGTACTTACAGCTTTATAATGGGTAATGTTTGACTTGACAAAGAGAAGGAGGGAAAAGTTTCAAAGGGAAACTGAGTTCAGTTTTGGACGTGAAGCTGAGACAGACATCATCATGGAGAAGTCCAGCAGCCTGTCGGATGAAAGAGTCTGAAACTTGAAGGCTGGAGCTTTAAATCTGGGGCTGTCAGCATGTGGTAAGGGCTGACAAAATGAAAGTCACTGAAATTCCTCAGGGAGTGAGAACAACAGTGGAGAGAGACTGGAACTGTACTGAGGATTAACATGTAGAATGTGGTCAGAGGTAGGGGACAGAGTCCTGAGAGGCAGAGGGAGTGTAACCCAAGGCCAAGAGAGTCTAGAGGCCACTGAGTCTGTTAAACATCCCTTAAGCTCCTAGGTGTTGAAGCCAGGAAGGCCTAGGTTTTACTATTGTCTCCACGTACTACTAGTCAAATCGCTTTCCTGTCTCAGCTGTAGTTTACTGACTTTAAAAATACAGATAATAATATCAAGCACCTTGGAGTGTGGTGAGAATTAGATGAGGTAATGCTTGTAAAGCTGTTAGTAAGCGAATAATACAGAACAAGTGCTCCGTTAGTGTGGGTGGGATTAGGGGTAGGAGTTGATTGCTACCAAGGAGGGAACCTAGCTGTCTGTGCAGCTGTGAGGCCTGCTTGGGAACAAAATAACAGCCAGGCTTAGTGATAAGAGGTCAGAGGTGGCTTTCCCCTCATCATTTTCAGTAGAGTGATGGAGCGCAGCTTGAATGAATGGGTTGAGAAAGGAAAAGGAAATTGATTCTTGAATGACGACTGCTCTTAAAAAGTGGGGAGACAGGCAGGAAGGAGTAGGAAAAATACTTGAAGAGAGTGTGGGAACAAAAGGGTTGTGTTTTTTTTTTTTAAGATGGACAGGGCTTGGTCATTTTTATAGCTAAGAAAGGATCTAGCAGAAATAGATGGGAGGCTTGGAGAAGAGGGCAGAGTAGCAGATGTAACAAGATCCTGTGCTGGGCAAGGTTTGGACTTAGCACAGAGGTAGAGAGATTGGCTACCTGGAAGAGGCAGTGAGAGAGTCAATTCCTAGGGCAGGTTGAGAAGTCCAGGGGTCCCCAAGAAGAGAGGGGTCTGGAATTCTCAAGGAGGAAAGGACAAACTTTTCTTTCCTCTACATTCCTTGGTCTTAGTCACATAAGCCACGTTTTTATCTTTAAGCCTCTAACTGATGGTTACACAACAAACAACTCAGTTTAAACTCTGTACTAAGGATTATATAACAACAATGTATGCTGCTTGAGGACAGTTTCTGGAAAAAAAAGCTCTGGCTAATCCTGTTATCTTAAAATGTAAATTATGGGAGTGGGTCTAGTAAGATCTTTACAACCTCCAGACATTCTTTTGATTCATTGTAATAACTAATTAAAAACTATATAACTCCATTGCTAACACTAGTGAGGGGGCACTCTTTCTGCCCACTTCTGATGTCAATGTCAGAAGCTTTCTCTATCTCTTTTATACTTTAATAAAACTTTGTAACACAAAAGCACCGAGCCATCAAGCCTCATCTCTAGCCCCGGATTGAATTCTTCTCTTCCGGAGGCCACGGATCCCAGCGTGGTTCAAGTGGTTCAACAACAACCTTTCAGCATTGGTGTACTTAATGGAAAGTTTGTGGGCAGGGAGGTGAGGCATTGAAGGAACTCATATGTGATTGCTTCATTTTCATAACTAAATAGGAAGCAAAGTGACCTTTTGAGAATCAGAACTATAGTGGTACCAAAATGCATGGTCATGTGATTTTTTTCTTAGGGTATTTAGCCATTTGGATACATTATCCAGGGAAGGTAGACCATAATATTAATCCAGGGCTGGAATATTAGAGGCAAATTGAAAGAGCACAAAGGAAATGGAGAGAGAGCAGTTGGGGTTATGTCCCGTGGCATCCAGGCTGATGGGAATGCAGCAGGAGCAGCAAGAAGGCAGAAAGGAGCAGACAGCAAGTTCTGTGAAGCCGAAGAAAAGGTTTGAGGGAATGTGGGGTTGCAGAGTCGGAACAGGAGATCAATATTGGTTATTAGTGTCTGATATTCCTCAGGTAGAATGGTTAGGGATGACTGCTAGTGTGGGAAGAGAGTGGTGGAAGTGGAGGAGAATTCAGGAATTGTGAGTTTTCTTCCCATGTATGTTGAAATCTCTCAGGTTGGGGCTGGATTTGGGGTGGAAGAAGAAACCTATCGGAAGCTCCAGTATTTTGGCCTCCTGATGCGAAGAGCTGACTCATTTGAAAAGAGCCTGATGCTGGGAAAGATTGAGGGTAGGAGAAGGGGAAAACAGAGGATGAGATGGTTGGATGTCATCACTGACTCAATGGATGTGAGTTTGAGCAAACTCCAGGAGATAGTGAAGGACAGGGAAGCCTGGCACGTCGCAGACAGTAGGGTCACAAAGAGTTGGACATGACTTAGCGACTGAACAACAAGGAAACCTCTGAGCCAGGTCCTAGGCTTCAGTGACTAGGAGGGGGTAACACAGCAGCGTGGAAGTCCAGGCCCCCAGCTCCAACCCTGCTACAGGCCCCAGAGGAAGAGGACTATTAGTGTTCTCCAGAGAAGCAGAACCAACAGAATGTGTATATTGATGGGTGGATTCATGGAGTCTTGCTGAGTCTAGAATCTGGAGAGCCTAAGAAGAGTAGCAGTTCAAGTCTAAAGACAGTCTGCTGTCAGAATCTCTTCTTGCTCTAGGAGAAGTCTTTCTTTGTTTTATTAAGACCTTCAAGTGGCCAGGCCACTTATTATGGAAGATAATCTGCTTTATTCAAAGTCTCCTGATTTAAGCATTAATCTCATCCAAAATAGAACCTTCACAGAAATATCCAGAATGTTTGACCCATATCCAGCACCATGTCCCAGCCAAGCTGACGCTTAAAATTAACCATCACAGTGACTACACAAGGATAGAAGGATGGTAGCCATGGAGACCCAATAGACAGTTAGCCTGCTGTTTCTCCACCTGCTGCAGGCCCAGGGGTTTAGGACAATGTACATAGGGTGTGGAAACTTTTGTTTATAAGATTTGGAAAAAAATCATTGGAAGTATTTCATGACCCAGATTATAACATTAGTAATCCTATTCCCTAACTTTGTATTTTACTTTTTAAAATGTCAAAGTGTTTTGGTAATAGCTGTCTCAGTTTATCACTCCAAACCCTCAGTTTAACTCACTTTGCTCAACCCCCCATCTCCAAGCGAGCATGTTGGAGAAACTTCATTTACTGACTCAGCTGCCATTTGTCAGCTGTTGACACACGGCCATGAGCAGGACTCTGGGTGACTGTGTTCTCGCTCCCAGATTGAACAGAAGATCTGTACAGGGTGGTGTGGTTTAGTCGCTAAGTCGTGTCAGACCCTTTGCCACCCCATGGACTGTATAGCCCACCAGGCTCCTCTGTCCATGGGATTTTCCAGGTGAGAATACTGGAGTGGGTTTCCATTTCCTTCTCCACTCTACAGGGTGACCACCCCCTGTTGTCCTGGTAAACAAAGGATCCTTGCTGAGAGTCAGACCTGGACCACACAGCCGCTGCTGCCCTGTGACGGCAGCATCTGTCCATGTGAAATGATAAAGCACCCCTGTGTCTTGCTGCAGGTTCCTCATTTTCAATGTAGTAGAAAAGGAATGAGTGAACCAGAAGTCAAAAGAATATGTCATTTTACCAGAGGCTCTGGGCATTTTAGGGGGTGGTAGGGGAACCTGTGTGACAGGACTTGTTCTGTTTCTTACTCTCTTCCCATCGCTGACTCAGCATTGGTTTCTGAAACAAGGGCTTGCAGGCTGTGCAGCCAGGTGTTGAAAGGCATGGAGAAGGAAGACAGTAGCTGCTGCGTTTACTCAGGTGTGAGTCTGAACCATGGAAAAGACTGAACTATAATGACCCTTTCTGAGACACTTTCTGTGGTAATGAATGGGAGACTCCAGTTCTAGGTGAAGCAATTTCCCTTGACACATCCACAAAGCCTCTTAGCAGGTAGCACAATTACATGATCCTGGCACCCCAACAATATCTGACACTGATTCACTCCCAGTAGACATTTGTTGAATGAATAAATGAATTGAATGTTCTTTTTTATCTGTGGCTGTAAAGAACCATTGTTTGAGTCTGGGGAGCGTGGAGAATATCTCGGGTTGTCTATCAGGATGAGTTTCCTCTTTGGGTAACTGTTGGTTGAAATGAAGGTAGAATTTTCTTAAGAATTATGACAAACACTCCAAAGTAAGGTGATGAACCTGTGCTTTTTTTTCAGTGCCCATGTGAAACCTGGAGAAAGTGTTCTGGTTCATGGAGCTAGTGGAGGAGTAAGTATTTTTTTCTTTTAATTTTTTTTTTTTTTAAGAGCTTATGTTTGTGGGTTTCACATTATATTTCTTTAAGTTGCTTTTTTAAAAAAAATTTATTTTTTTTAAGTTGCTTTTAAAAAATGTATAAATATAGTCAAGGGTGATGACCTTTTTCTTTTTGTAGTGAGACTTTAGATTCTGTCTTCTGAAGGTGATTCCCCATCATATTCGTTTAGCATTTCTTGGTTAATAAATTCAACAGATTACCTGATCAGAAATGTATGCATTAGGTTTTCTACCTGTGTTGGGTATGGACCAAGATAAATGGGCTTTTGTTTTTCTTTTCAAGAAGTGAATGTTATATAAGAATATTTATTTAGAATTTTAAACAGTTCTTTAAGGTTAATATAAATTCCACATCCCCTTAGATAAGAAAACTAAGGCTCATTAAAGCTTGCTTTGCCTCTGTTGCCCCAGACAGCACTGCAAAGCCACACTGTGAGTTCTTCATCCTTTCTAGCTCTCTTCCTGCTTGCCTGCTGCGCTTTGATGACATTCGCAGGGTGCACAGTATACAGCTGTGTCCTTCACACCACAACCCACAACTTAAAATGCTAATGGGTGTGGGGGTGGGGGGTGGGTTGGGGAATGCTCAGGACTTATCAAACCAGCCCTGCAGTGAAATCACCCAACACAGAGCTGTCAGAAAGCTCTTCAAGAAACTGGCTGTCAATCTGCCTCCGAGGAGCTTAGAGGAAAAGTTAGAGCTCTGAGGTTGGAATTTAACAAGAAATCCACATGACCTCTATCCTGCATGTAGAGGCTTTAGAAATTTTGGAGACACGATTTCGCCTTTTTAAAATACAGGGCCTGGGGCTGGATGTTTGAGAAAGCAGGTTAACCCTTTCAGGACATTGTATTTTCAGAGAGGAGATGGAAGGAAGTAATCTATTAATGGCAGATTGTTCCTGGCATAATGAGAGGCATCCTGAAAATGCATTTACCTCTAAAAGTGGACAGGTAATACAGAGAATTCAGACCTCTGTATATTTGTTACTTTCCATGGATGTATCACGAGATTTCAGGCCCAGCTTCCTATGTACTTCCAATAGATCAACTCAAGGATTTCACAGATAAACTGTTTACTTAAAAAACACCAAGATTGTCTTTCTGGGGCTTGAGAAAATATGACACCTACCCTTGTCAAAAACTCCTGTTGTTTAGCCTCACTGAAGAGGCAGTTCGGGGGTTAAATTTAGCCCTAAATAAGTAAACTTAATGCTAAATAAGTACAGAATCTGTCCAACATGCATTTATTTAAATTGCCTTGGCTTTCACAGAGCTAACCTTGTGCTCTGTATCAAAAAGAGAGATTTCAGTAGGAAGGGGAGAGACGAGTTTAAAGAAAATCTCTTTTTATTCCCTTTACCCTCATGTAAAAAGCCAGGTCGCTTCATCATGATTTTTTTTTAAAAGGCAAAATCCAGACTGTTCTCTGTGCTGGCTGAGTTTGTTAAATCCTTGGCTGGCAGGGATAGGCTGGCGACCTGGTGTGTGAAGCGCTTCTGATCCTCTCTGCTCATCAGGGGGAAAAAGTGCTGGGTTTTGTCTTGCTTCTATTTGTACTCTCTGTCCTCATTTAAATCAAATTCCTTTGGGATTATGTTGTGCATTTAAAATGGTGCAGAATTTGTGAACACAGCCAACATCCTAATATGTTGGTAGGGAGTGCCCTATTTTATTGTCAGCAAAATAAATAGAAGAAAAAATAGTTGACACATAATGGTATATAATCTATTGAAGAAATATTGTTAGTATAATTGTTGACAAGAATAGAATAAGCAACTCCTTTAAAATATGTCTTGAGTGCCCCTTTGAAGTAGTTAGAGCATAATAAGGAGATAATATTTACATTATCTCAGGTTAAAACACGGTTTTATTAGAGCCCCCCCCCCTTTTTTTAACTGGAAATTAAAGTAGCAAAAATCAGCCATGCTAACCCCATGGTGTAGTGGTATTTCATGGAACTGAATGTCTGTCACACTCACAGTGAGTTTCCTGTGTTTGTTTTGGTTAAATCAAACAAATCCTCAGCATAACCCAACTGGGTTTAGGCTCCTCACTCCCATATGCCATACAGTCTTTAAGGTCTTACTTCAGGCTTGGGAGTTCGTGATTCTGTTACAATTTTACTTAGTTTCCATCATCTTTTTTATCTCAATTCTCTTCTATCTTGCCCAGTCCATAATGCTTGTATCTTCCTTTAAATCAGTGGTTTTCAATAAGGGGTGATTTCATACCATCTCTTCTCCCACTTGGGGACATTTGGTGGTGTCACAACTAGATGAAAGGGTCTGGCATCCAGTGGACAGAAACTAGGAGTGCTCCTTCTAAGCACCCTTCACTGCACAGCATAGTCCCCACAGCAAAGAATTACCTGGCCCAATAGTGCCAAGTGTGAGAAAGCTCGTTCTAAATGTATGGGCTGACCCTTATCTGTACCATTCATTTGGCATGGGACCAAACATGTTTCCTAGTATTATAATTTAAATGATTGCTTTTATCTATATTCCTAAAATAGTTTTATTTCTTCTTTATGCTAAGCACATTTATCTAGTGCTCTAGTGATCTTATGCAATCCTGTGGCTTTAAGTACTATCTATAAACTGATGATTCTCAAATTTATGTTTCCAATTCTGAACTCTTTTCAAGTCTGTTATCATATTCAACTAATGATTGAGCGTCTTCAGTTGGGTGAATTCAGTGTGTTCAAAGTCAATTCTTGATGCTGTCACAAACTTGATCCTCTTTCATCTTCCTCATCACAGTCAATCTACGCAGTTATTCTGACCTGAGACCTAGGAGACATTCTTGATTTTTCTCTATTCCTCACCTCCCACCTCCAATCTTTGATGAAGTCCTGATCTTCCTGCTCCCATTTCCCCCTACTTTCTTTTTGCCTCCCATATAATTAGAATGTTCTATTAAAAGCCTAATTCAGATCATATCCCTCTCTTGCTTAAACTCTCCAGTAGTTCTGCTTGGCTCTTAAATATAATCCAGAGTCTTTACCCCCAAGGCGGTGTGTGCCTTGGCCTTTCTGTGCCTCTCTGGCCTCATCTTCTGCTCTCTTCCGCATGTCCCACCCTTAAGCCACATTGACCCTCTTTCTGACGTTTGAATGCCCCAAGCTCATTCCCACTTCAGCAGGATAGCCGTGCCCATTCAGCCTACAGCATTCTCCAGCAGGCGTCTCAGACCTGTCCCAGACTGTGCTTGTCCCTCTCTCCATTCAGATCTCTTCAGAATGCCTTTCCTGATGACTTAATTGGCCTGGTTCTCTCTTTATAACCCAATACGCTGTTTTTTTTCAAGTATTTTTCATTCTCTGAATTTACTTTATTCATTTATTTCTTCATGTGTTTATTATCTCCCCATTCCTTAGAACATAAGTTTCATGCGTGAAGAACCACATCTTGCACATCAGTTCAGTCAGTTCACTTGCATCCGACTCTTTGCTACCTCATGAACTGCAGCATGCCAGGCTTCCCTGTCAATCACCAACTATAGAGTTTGCTCAAACTCATGTCCATCGACTCTGTGATGCCATCCAACCATCTCATCCTCTGTTGTCCCCTTCTCCTCCTGCCCTCAATATTTCCCAGCATCAGGGTCTTTTCCAATGAGTCAGCTCTTTGCATCAGGTGTCCAAAGTATTGGAGTCTCAGCTTCAGCATCAGTCCTTCCAATGAATATTCAGGACTGATCTCCTTTAGGATGGACTGGTTGGATCTCCTTGCAGTCCAAGGGACTCTCAAGAGTCTTCTCCAACACCACAGTTCAAAAGCATCATTTCTTCGGTGCTCAGCTTTCTTTATAGTCCAACTCTCACATCCATACATGACCACTGGAAAAACCATCGCTTTGACTAGACAGACCTTTGTTGGCGAAGTAATGTTTCTGCTTTTTAATATGCTGTCTAGGTAGGTCATAGTTTTTCTTCCAAGGAGCAAGTGTCTTTTAATTTCATGGCTTCAGTCACCATCTGCAGTGATTTTAGAGCCCAAAAAGATAAAGTCTGTAACTGTTTCCATTGTTCCTCATCTATTTGCCATGAAGTGATGGGACCAGATGCTGTGAACTTTTTCTGAATGTTGAGTTTTAAGTCAACTTTTTCATTCTTCTCTTTCACTTTCATCAAGAGGCTCTTTAGTTCTTCACTTTCTGCCATAAGGGTGGTGTCATCTGCGTATCTGAGGTTATTGATGTTTCTTCCGGCAATCTTGATTCCAGTTTGTGCTTCATCCAACCTGACATTTCTCATGATGTACTCTGCATATAAGTTAAATAAGGAGGGTGACAATATACAGCCTTGATGTACTCCTTTCCTTATTTGGAACCGGTCTGTTGTTCCATGTCTAGTTCTAACTGTTGCTTCTTGACCTGCATACAGCTTTCTCAAGAGGCAGGTCAGGTGGTCTGGTATTCCCATCTCTTTAAGAATACTCCTTTCCTGATTTGGAACCAGTCTGTTGTTCCGTGTCCAGTTCTAACTGTTGCTTCTTGACCTGCATACAGATTTCTCAGGAGGCAGATAAGGTGGTCTGGTAGACTGCAATGGTAGATGAGCAATACTGCATAGGTGATGAAATTGTATAGAATTTAATACACACATACAGATGAGTACAAGTAAAACTGGAGAAGTCAGAATAAGATCAGCAGGTTATATCATTAACTTGATTGTAAAATAGTACTATAGTTTTGCAAACTATAACCACTGGGACAAACTGGATAGTGTACAGAAGAGCTCTCTGTTTTATTTCTTACAACAGCATGTAAATCTACAATTATCTCAATTATTTTAAGTAAACAATCCAAAAAATTAAATTTTTCCCTGAAAATAAGGAGAATTTAAATTCGTTATTAATTTGAAAAAAAAATTCCAACTTGCTTTGAGTCCATAAATGCTCATTATAATAAGCAAAAGACATTGTCTAAATGAAAAAATAGAATTCTTTTATCCTTTAAAAAAATCCCACTGAGATTCATCTGGAATAATGTCTTCTCAGGGAAAACATGCTGGCACCTACTAATGATTTATTTCCCCTTTTTGATGTTCATGAAATGCCCTTCAAGAACTTGCCCAGGACTGGCTCCTACCATTGGAAGAATCAACTTTCTTCCCCCTCTCCCAAATTGGAACAGTGTGTGCCCATTGACAGTCCTCTGGCATCCCTCCCTGGCTCCAGAGTCTCTGGAAACCTGCCACTGACCTTCTCATATATAAATTCTATTGGTATCCCAGCTGGAATTGGTCCAGGCTTGGAGACATAGCTCATTTAAAGGCAAGCATGCCTTCCCTTATAGTATCCCACACATTTTGTGCTTTGGTATCTTCCTACTGATATTTGTATGATGTGTATCCAACATCATGAAAGTCAGACCAGGTAAGGTGTTCTGAGGTGGGAGCCAGGAGGTCCTGAATGCAAATCCACATCCCATGATTTTCTAGAAATATGATCTTGGGCTCATTGATCCAATTCTCTGAGCTTCAGTTTGCCCATCTGCCAAATAAAACCAATAGGACTAGTAGTAGCTACCATTATTCTTAGGTGGTAAGATAATAGTGAAAAATAAATGAGATGGTATCTGTAAGGGTGCTGAGCACAAGTTGATAGTAACAACAGAGCAGATGAGATGAGTATATCTGCTTCCTCGTCAGTGTATGGATATATATGAATTCACGGGACTTCAGAACTGCAAGGTCCTGGAGAAGTTGTCCAGTCCTCCCTCCCACTTACTGAGACCAGTGTTCATGGAACAGCAGATTTCAGCGTTAAACTCCATCACCCAGTACCATCACAACTTCTGCACATGAGCAACATACCTGTAACCTGCTGTGCTCTGTCAGAACTTGGAAAAGCCCTTTTCTTTGGTCCAGGTACTT